CTTTCTTTCTTTCTTTCTTTCTTTCTTTCTTTCTTTCTTTCTTTCTTCCTTCCTTCCTTCCTTCCTTCCTTCCTTCCTTCCTTCCTTTCTTTCTTTCTTTCTTTCTTTCTTTCTTTCTTTCTTTCTTTCTTTCTTTTATTTGATACTTTCTTTATTTACATTTCAAATGTTATCTCCTTTCCAGGTTTCTCCAAGAAACCCCCTATACCATCCCCAGTCCCCTGCTTCTATGAGGGTGTTTCCCCACCCATCCACCCATCCATGCCTCCACACCCTCACCCTATAATTCCCTTACACTGGAGCATCAGTTTTGTTCTAGAGCTCTTAGGTGTGCTGTTATGTTGCCAGTATAAAATCTCTACATTTTTTTAAAATCAGAACACTTAGTGCCATGAATTTTTCCCTTTAGCATTGCTTTCACTGTGTCCCATAGTTTTGGTTATGCTGTATCATTATTTTCAATAAATTCCAGGAAGTTTTAAATTTTCTTATTTATTTATTCCTTGACCAAGTTATCACTGAATAAAGTGTTGTTTGGTTTCCATGGGTATGTGGGTTTTCTCTTGCGTTGGGTCTTATTGAAGACCAGCCTTGTGCTGTGGTGATCTGACAGAGTGCGTGGGATTACTTCAATCTTCTTGTATTGGTTGAGGTTTGTTTTGAAATCCACTATACGGTCAATTTTTGAGTAGGTACCATGCGGTGCTGAGAAGAGGGTATATTCTTTCGTTTTAGGATAAAATGTTTTGTAGATCTCAGTTAAATGTGTTAGATTCATAGCCTCTATTAGTTTCACTGTGTCTCTTTTTAGTTTCTGATTTAATGACCTATTCATTAGTAAGAGTGGGGTGTTGAAGTTTCATACTATTATTGTTCAGGTTCAGTGTGTTTTTTTAGCTTTAGTAAAGTTTCCTTTATGAATGTGTGTGCCCTTGCATTTGGGGCATAGATGTTCAGAATTAACACTTTCTCTTGGTGAATTTTTTAACACTTTCTCTTGGTGAATTTTTTTCTTTCATGAACACGAAGTATACATTCCCAGCTTGCTTGATAACTTTTAGACTAAAAGTCTATTTTTTTTGGATAGTTGATGACAATTCCTGCTTGTTTCTTAGCACCATTGCTTGGAAAACTTTTTTTCAGCCTTTTATTCTATGGTAGTGTGTTTCTTGTATGCATCAAAATGCTGGATCCTGTTTGTGTATTCAGCCTGTTAGCTTATGTCTTTTTATTGGGGAATTGAGTACACTGATATTGAGAGATATTAAATCAGATGATTGTTAGTTCCTGTTATGTTTGTTGTTGTGGGTATTATGCACATGTGATATTATGTATTTAGGCATTATGTGCATGTGATTCTCTCCTTTTTGCTTTGTTGTGAGTTGATTAATATCGTGATTTTTCTTTGGTGTGAGTATGCTCCTTATGTTAGAGTTTTTCTTGTAGAACTCTACATAGTACTGGAGTGGTAGATAGATATTGTTTGAATTTGGTTTTGTCCTAGAATATTTTGTTTACTTTTCCATCTATGTTGATGGGGAATTTTACTGAGTATAGTACCCTGGGCTGGTATTTGTTTTCTCTTAGGATCTGCATGAACTCTGTCTAGGTTCTTCTGAATTTGTTTGTCTTTTTTGAGAAGTCAGGTGTAATTCTGATAGGTCTATCTTTGTATGTTACTTGGGTTTTGTCCCTTATAGCTTTTAATATTCTTTCTTAGTTCTGTTCACTTTGATCATCCTGATAAGCCCTTAGAAACAGTGATCACAGGAGTGTTCACAGAACTTTGTTATTGCTTTGCTTGTTCTTTGACTATTTGCATCTATTATATTGCTAATTCTTCAACCTAGAATTGACTTTAATAATTGCATGTAAATTAAAAGCAAAAAGGAGGAGGTGAGACAGGATAGGTGTTTTCTAGGGAGGGAAAATAGGTAAAGTAGATGGTATCTGAAATATAAATAAATGAAATATCCAATTAAAAATAAGTGAAAAAATGTCTTTGGATTATTATGTGATGAAAATATTTTCTTTTCTGGTCCAATATATTTGCTGTTCTACAGGCTTCTTGTATATTTATGGAAATCTCTCAAGCACAACCTGGCATCAGTAATAGTGTCAAGGTTTGGTGCCTGTGCATGAGATGGATTCCAAGTTGAGAGGGTAAATTAATGGGCTTCCCTTCAAGCTCTGTTCCATTTTTATATCTGCATTCCCTTTAGACAGGAACATTTCTTAATCAAATATTTTTCAGATGAGTGGGTGACTCCATCCCTCAACTGGGGGCCATGTCTACCTACTGGTGGTCTCTTTAGGGTTTATCTCTTCACTGTTGTACATTTTAGCTTTGCTTATCCCCATTGGATCCTGAAAGCCTGTCATATCCTTACTGTCTGGGACTATTAAGAGGTTCCCAAGTCCCCCAGCAAACACTGGTGCATAATTTTATACATTCTTCTAGCCCTGTAGGACTCTGTCTGTCTCCCCCCTCCCACATATCTGACCCTGCCTTTCTTCTTTTCCCTCCACCTCCCCTCTCCCATTCATGTCACTTCCTCCTTCTGCCTCCTATGATTATTTTTTAACACTATTCTTAAATGCTAGGTTTCACTTGAAACACAAACATAATTTTATGAGTACAAAGATCATCTGCTATATACCCTTAATTTTACAGTTAAATTTCTCCTACTATTAATTTCTATTTTTATTTTTGTAATGAATTCTGGTAGTTATTCTTTAGGAAAACATCTCTGCTAGATGTAAACTCTTTTTATCTTCTTTGATTGGATAATGTCTCCATTAATGTATTTATTCAAAAGGCTACAACCACAGAATATAGAACTTAAAGCTGACACCCATTTTCTTTTCTTCCTATGGTCTTCATGATGGTAGATAGGAGTCACTTTCTTTGGGAACTTGGTCCAGTATGGTTGCTGAAGACTTCCTACTAATTTTTTCCAAAATATTTTAAGCAATTTTAATAGATGGATCTCCACGAGTTTCATGGGAATTGTCCTATTTAAGTTTACCCAGCTCTTGAATGTGCACATTCATGCATTATGGACATTATGTTTTAATTTTCCTTCACATTATTTTATTTGAATCTCAAGTGTTTTGTTTTTACCTAAAAAGAATTTGAATTTTGTTCAGTTTCATGATGTTCCTCTTGAGATCTTACTGAACAGAATCAGTACTTTTGATTTCCGACTTTCACTGTGTCTTCCAAGGGTAAGCAGTAGTCCAAAAGAAAGACACATAGGACAGTATTAGGTAATTAGATGAGTTCTGAATTTCTTTACTAGAATTTTCAGTGTCTCTTCCCTGCATATAATGTTTACTAAAAGTACTCTGTCCAAGCATTTCAGATATACTTAGCAAAAGTATAACATATAGACGGCTATGCTTCTTTTGACCCTATCAGAAACCCAGAAAGCCTCGTTCGCCTTCTGTAATATTATAAGCTTTAAAGTCTTATTTACAAATATATTTTTAAAAGAGTGGCAATATATGGAGTCTTATTCTATTAGATATTTTTTTAAAAGTTGCCTATCTACATTGGCATCTTATGTTCTGAAGCTCTTAAGATATTTCCTAATACTTGAAGGTTTCAGAACACACTTGTTTGCTGAAGTTAAGTAACTGCTTTAGGTGAGAAGGCAGGAAGAAGTTGAAACTCTCATTTTATATGATTAACCTTTCTTAAATAATTATTTATTTAGCGAGAAATTGCTAAAGTCTTGTTTAATACAGTATTCTTTCTGGTTCTGCTTGAGCCTGTAATTTGACTTGGTTCTCAAACATTCAAATCTTGTCTCCTTAGACTCAACAGGGAAATGTGGGCCTCCTCCACCTATTGACAATGGAGACATCACCTCCTTGTCATTATCAGTATATGCACCATTATCATCAGTTGAATATCAGTGCCAGGACTATTATCTACTTAAAGGAAAGAAGACAATAACATGTAGAAATGGAAAGTGGTCTGAGCCACCAACCTGTTTACGTAAGTACCTTATTTTCATAGATTATAGGAGATTTTGTGTTATATTATGGATATTATTCTGTTAATACTAGAACATTCAAAAAACACAAGTACTGTTTTGATTGTGCTTCAGTGCCAAACATCAGCATGTGATAAAAACAAGATTATTAGATTCTTTTTATAAAAATCACCTGTCAAATAAAATTGTACAGGTTATTACTTATAATTAAGTCTCTACTACCATGTGTTAATGTCCACAAAACTGGGAACCAGCATGATATTTTATACCTGTTTTCTCAGTCAGTATTCTATTGCTGTAAAGAGGCACTACGGCTATGGCAAAACTTTTAAAAAACAAACAAGCAAACAAAAAACACATTTGTTGGGTGGATATTGCTTACAATATCAGAGATTAGTCTATTATCACATTTGGGAGCATGGTGGCCCAGAGGCAAACTTGATGGTGGAGAAGGAGCTGAGCATTCAACATCTGGCTCTAGAGGGAGCAGCAAGCCATCATAGACATATATCTTCTAATGAGCCAATACCAATTCCAGTAAGGCCATAGCTCCTAATCCTTCTCAAGTATCACCAGTCCCCAATGAATAATCTATATTTGAGTCTATGGAGGCTGTTCTTTTTCAATTCACCAAACCTGTGTACATCTTGCAAGTATTAAATCCATACAACATCTCCTTCCTTTAGATAGGCCAAATACCATCTATTAACCACTGTCATGCATTCTAGAGAAATTATAGTCTTTCTTTTATCTGTGAAAAAGAACACAAAATCATTGTCTTTCTATGTTTGGTTTATTTCAATTAATGTCCTCCAATGCTCTTTCCTAATTAAAACAATAAAATATATCTGTAATGTCTGGACAATATTTTGTGTTTAAATATACCATGTTGTATTTTTAAATTCACCAATTAATATTAGTTCAGACAATTTTTTTCATCTTAGCTATACTCCTTTAGCAGTTTACAATAGATATATGCATGCAGTTTGAGTAATATGATTTTATTTCCTTTGGATACATACCAGAAGAAACATATAAAAATATGTAAAAATCTATTTTTAAATTTTTAAGACATCTCAATTGTTATCTATAGTAATTTCACAAAGTCATATTCTCATCAATGTTTTGTTTGTTTTTCACCACACATTCATGAGCATTTGTAATTATAAGGGCTCTTTTTTCCGGTGCTATTTTAACTGACTGAGAAGATATTTTATTATGGATTGACAATGAAATTACAGCTAATGATATTTAGGTTTTTATTTTTTTAAAGTATCTATCCATTTATCCAGTTTTGATTGGCTTACTTTTCTTTTAAAATGTGTTTTTCCACAGACTAATAATAATTCATTTAAAGATTATCAACAAATTGAAATCCTTTTCAATTATATTAGTATAACATAAGATAGATATAGTGCAAAACTCTTTCAAAATCAATCTACTGAAAATGATGTTGTAACTTCCAAAAGACCAACCATGCCCAAAGTAATCAATTCAAATCAAATAAAACAAAAACAAAACAAAGCCAAATAAGTGTATTTTCACTTTTTTTTTGACATAGGAAACCCCTATAAGAGCTATGTAAATATCTGGAAACAAACAATAAACAACCATTTACTTTGATTCAAGTGTCTAACAATTTCTTAGGTGTATTGATTATACTCTGTGCTATGCACAAGTACCACATTGCGATAAAATCTGTGGGTCAGTGTTTGCTTTTTGTAATTTGGATTCCCATCCAAACACACAGTGTCCAAAACCAATAAAATGTTTCCCAGTTGTGCTTCTTTGTTCTTTCAGTGGTTTGTTCTTACATTGATGTCGTTGACCAACTTTCAGTGACTTTGCTCAGAAAGGCAGACATATATCAATTATAATCATCTCCATATGGATATCAATTATTCCTTTACCGTTTATTGAATATGATGTCAGTTTCCTAACATAAGTTTTTGGAAAGTCTATTTGGATCAGTTAACTGTAGATGCATAGATCATTTCTCAAATCACTTTTCTCATTCACTGGAGGGTTTATTGCATTCAAGTTACTGTGGGGCTCCTGGTGTATGTTGAAATCAGATATTGTGACATTCCAGATTTTCCTTTCTGCTCTAGTTCCAGTTATCTGCTCATTCTATTGTACTTCCATACAAATTTTAGATTTTTATCCATATGAGTGTGAAAAATGTTATTGGTATTTTGTTGTGGGCTCATATAGACTGCTAGTAACCATAGGCAATGTGGACATTTCTATATCAATATTAATTCTTACAACCCTTTAATATACAAGATTTTTCCATTTTTGTCTTTTCTGATTCTTTTACCAGTTAACTAATATTTATGATTGAAGTTTTCACTTACATTGATAAATTAATAGCTGAATTAATTTTGAAGTTACTGATAATGACATTGCATTTTTGGTTAATTCTCAGAAAAAAGTGGAAATTGTTTATAAAAAAGGGGTGATTTTTGTAGGTTTATATATTACTTTATTGACTTTGATAATTTTTCTTTCAGCTGCATGTGTAATATCAGAAGATGTTATGAAAAGACATAATATAGTTCTCAGATGGAGAGAAAATGAAAAGATTTATTCCAAATCAGGGGAGAATATTGAATTTATGTGTAAACCTGGATATAGGCAACAAAAAGGATCTCATCCATTTCGTACAAGTTGCATTCAAGGTCACATCAATTATCCTACTTGTCAATAAAATCACAATACAATTAGTAAATCTTATGGATGAACCTTTGTTTATAAATTCAGTTAATATGCATAGCATATTACTAATTCAGTTTCACTTTTCATTTGAAATATTGTTTAGCTCATTTCTTCTAATAAGTATAAACTTTTTTGTTATATGGTGTTTAATTTGTAATCTTAGAGAATGTTGTCACAATGAAAGAGCAGCACATTCAAAAATCCTACTCCAAAATATATATTCAAGGGCAAACTATATCAAAGCATGAAAATAAATGTAAGTTCTTCAATGTCTGTTTCTGTTCAGAACTCTTCAGAATTTCCTCGATATCTTTTGATGTAAAGTTCTGATTCACAATGAGTGGAAGACATATTGACTCAGTCTTCGAATTAGCATTATTTCCCAAACTCAAGTTATAATACCAAACTATCAATTGTAATATCACTAATGCATGTAATTAATTACTATATACTACTTTTGTATCAATAACAAAATCTAAGTAAATTCTTGCATATGAATGTCTAATATTTTGTACATTGTAATAATGAAATATTCAAACAATTATACAAAGGGATTAAAGTTTTCACTATGTGTATGATTCTATCACTGTAATAATATTGACTTTAAAACCTATAAATATTAGTTATCACTTATGAACAGAAAATGAGTATTATCTTAGTTTTTTTCTTGTTGTTTTTTTAATTCCATAGCTTATTTATTTCCATTTCAGATGCATCCCCCTTCCCAATTCCCCCTACCCATTAATCCCCTATCCCTTCTCTCCTCCTTCTTTGCCTTTATGCTATTTAAATTACATGCAAGTACTAAGATCAGTTCTAAGTTGAGGAACTAGCAATACAATAGATGAAAATAGTCCAGGAACAAGTAATACAATAAACCCAGTTATGACAAAGAACATGCATGACAGTAAACAGAGTCCAGTGATCACTCCTGTGATCACTTTTTCTAAGGGCTTACCAGGATGATCAAAATATTTGAATATATTTCTCCGTCCTAGTCCAAAGTCATTTTCATGCCTAAAGCCAACTTTTTTGTTCTAGCTTAAGATTTAGATTCCTGCCTAAAATTTCTTCTTTGTTCTAGCCTCGGATTTAGATTTCTGCCTGAAATTATTTCTTTGTTACAGCCCAATGTCAGATTCCTGCCTGCAGTTTACTTCCTTGTCTTTGGCCTAGGTCAGATTCCTTCCAAGCAGCCCATTTCCTTGTCCGTGGCCAATAACAGATTCCTGCTAGGCAGCCCCAAAAGCGCTCCACATCTTCCCCTTATTATTCCATAAACCAGACTGAGCCTATCTTATGTCCTTCTGACAAGAAAGCCTTCCTTAGCCATCGTGGAATATTCATTATCATAAGCAATACATTTATGTCTTAGATTGGTGAGGATTTCTGCAGAATCTTACCCGTCCTTGACTTGCCAGCCTGTTAAATTAATAACTCTGTCTGAGGGTCCATTATCAGTTTCAAGTCATGTACTTTGGCTGCCAGCATGTTGATGTAGTAGAGACTAGCTTTAACATGACGGACAGGAATAAAAGTATTCCCAGGACAAGAAGGGCTAGCCTGATCAAGCTATATATGCCAGTTGTTTTGAAGAGACATATTAACCAAGGCAACTCAAATGCATAATGACATTTAACTAGGTTTGGCTTTTAAGTTAACATATTTAGTCAATTATCATCACAGTGTAAAGTAGGACAGTGTTTATGTAGACATGCTGCTGGCAAAGGAACTGAAAATTCTACATTTTGATCCATAAGCAGCAAAAGGCCATGTGCCACACTGAACATCACTTGAGCATAGGCAACCTCAAAGCCTGCCCCGACTGTGACAGACTTCATTCAACATGACCCTACCTATATTAACTAAGCTACACCTCCTTATAGTGTCACTTTCTATGGACAAGCATTCAAGCACATGAGTCTATGTGATCCATAGCTATTGAAACTCCCACAGATATATACATATTGTTCACCCAAAATACTAAAGGAAAATAACAATAATTATAATGAAATTTATAAAATCTGTAGTTATCTTTAGAGTTAATAAAGTGTTGCTTTGCTATTCATTATCTTTAAAGAGTTTCTAACTCACAGTGGATGGACTCGGCATATTAATTTTTTGATAGTGAGAAAGTGATATTTATTCAGCAAATACTAATGAATTTTTAATTATTCTGTTATATATGAACTTTTGTTCATACATATATACACAAGAATATATATTATATATACACACATATACATATATATCTATTATATACATATATACGTTATATAATACATATATACACACACACACGTGTGTGTGTGTGTGTGTGTGCATATAAAACAACTGTCTGATTATGAGAAGAAGTAATTCATCATACTTCCTGTATCACTAAGGTATCCAGTCAGCATTTAAAAAGCTTCTGTTACTGAATGTGATTAATAGATCATTAGGTATTTAAAATAGCTTTAAACCAACACTGGTTACAGTGTACCTTGGTGTATTAATCAGGTTACTCTAGAGTAACATGAGTAACAGATCATATGGAATACATCTCTCTGTCTCTCATATGTGTATACACACACACACACAAATATATATATATATATATATATATATATATATATATATATATATATATATATATATATATGACTTATATATATGATTTATTAGAAGGACAGGATGCATGCCTGGTAATCTAACAATGTCTGTAAATGAACAGAATGTCCAAGAATTCAGTAGTTGCTCATTTCTTAAGGCTGCATGTCTCAGTTGGTTTTAGTGTACTCTACAATCCCAAATACATAATCTCTAAATCCAGGGAAAGAATTGGATGTACTAGCATGGTGAGGGCAAGAAGGGAAAGATCAAAAGAGCAACAGCCCCCTCCTTCTATGTCCTTATATAGGTTTACAGAAGAAGTTGTGGCCCAGATTAAATGTGTGTCCTCCATACTCAAATTCTGAACTAAAGTCTTGTGTCTTCCTGCTCAAGTTCCAGATTTAAGGTGTTTAATTTCCTACCTCAAAGGTCCACACTAGAAATGTAGATTTGCCTACTTCTAACTAAGTAAAAAATCTCTCAGAGGTGTGCACTCCATATCTGGATTGTTCTTCATTCCAGATGTAATCATGTTGACAGTCAAGATCCGCCATCACAATTTCAACCATTATTACTTTGACACACAATCATATCTCCTCATTTCATGATTAATTTCCAAATGAAAACAATAACCAGGTCATAGTCACACTTAGACATAATAACTGTTCTACATACAAAATAAAATAGAATAGAACATTTATTGTGATCATTTTCTTATCTCAAACTTTAAGAAAACCATTGATATTCTTTTAATTGATGTTAGAGCATATGATTAGGAAATAGAGGAAATGGAGAGAAAAGAAAAATATGTGTACAAATACATTCTTAACAAAATACAACCAAAGCACTCATTTCAACTATAATCCTTTTTTCTCAAATTGGTTACACTGTCTTAGTTAATGGCTTAGTTAGGGTGCTATTGCTGTCAACAGACACCATGACTATAGTAATTCTTACAAAGAAAAACCTTATTTTAATCTTTTTTATGTGATATTTTATTTATATACAATACTGATGTCATCACCTTTCCCCATTTCCCCTCCCTAAAACCCTCTATCCTATACCTTCTTTTCCTTTTGCTTTTATACCATTTTGATTACATGAATGTATTAAGGTCAGTCCTAGGTTGAGGGTATAGGAAAACCTATAATTGGGGCTGGCTTCATGTTTCAGAGGTTTTGCCATTATCATTATGTGAAGCATGGCAGCTCAAAGGTAGAAATCGTGCTGGAGCTGAGAGATTTTACATCCTGATCCTCCGGCAGCAGAAAGAAACTGGGTCTCACTCACTGGACAAAGTTTGATTGAGCATAGTCTTCAAAACCTACCCACGCTGGGACATACACCTACCAACAAGACTACAACTCGTCCCAAAAGGCCATATCTCCTAATAGTATCACTTGTAAAGTTCCAGGAGTTCTACCACATGGTATATGTGGGTCATTCTTATTTAATCAGCACATCTGTATTTAGCTGTATCCGTTTATTGCACATTTTGTTTTTCCCCTACCACCTGCCAGCACCTCCACAGGTCTTGGATCTTTTCCTGTTGGAATGACTCATACATTCATTCCTGAAAAGTCTGTGCTCTTTGTCATGTTCCCTGGATTAGGCCATGCTAAATTCCCATTGACCTTCATCACAGGACAATGTAGCACCAAGTGACATCCAAAAGTATTGTCTGCATGCCAGACTTAATTTTCTTATCTCCATTGTACAGTTGTGATCCAATTTTACCATGGAAATTTGGATTTATCAACACTCTTACAACTGTTATTTCCTCCTTATCCTGTTTGTTAAAGGAAATTAGAAGCCCAAAGTGGCCTTATAGAATACTGAATTACTAGACCAATAGGATATTTTTTGTGGCTCATTGTAGGAACATTCTCTACCATGAAAGAAAATTTCTAGGATAGCAGAACTTATGGTCTCTAGAACAGGAAGCAACTTTTCCTAGACCATCACTAGGGATGATAGTGGGTTTCTGTTTTGTATCCCTTGATCTTTGATCCATGGCTACAAGAGATACTATATCATATCTTAGATGAATATTCAAAACATAATTTGCCCTATGGATAACACTGACACTGCTCTCCCAGCTGTTTCCATGTAATTTTACACTGTAGCTGTGTCTTCACAAGGCCTTATCTCTCCATTAGGTTAGTTGCTGCAGAATAATGGGGAACAAGATAAGACCAGTTGATATAATGATTATTGGCCTTGGTCAGCTGCAAAACTGTTTAGAATACAATGATAGTGAATAAGCCATTATTTAACTTCAAAGATGGTTGTTTTGCCAGACACATTGCTTGCAGGAGAGGCAAATCTATAACCAAAATAAATATCTACACCAGAAGGACAATATGGAATACTTCCCATAAAAGAAATGGTCCAATATCAGTCAACTTTTCACCAGGTTGCTATCTAGTTTCCTCCAGGAATGGGGCCAAATCAGGAGCTCAGTACTGATCTATGTTGCAGATATATTTGACCTCAGAATACAGTTGTAGCCATGTCAGGCTTGGTCAGTGGAAGTCCATGTTATCAAGCCCATGTGTATACTTCATCCAGTCACCATGTTCATTTTATTAATGGACACATTGAACAATGACTGAGATGTCTGTGAAAAAATAAAAGCTAACTTTCCCCAGAGTGGCATTAAGACTATTTGATAACTGAACTCCTCTTCAGCAAAAGTCACCTATTGATGAATATTTCCATGGGACACAAGTTTCTTCACAACTTCTGAAAAGTTGGTGAGATCTATCTACATATAGTTTCTTACTCAGATGTCTTTACCATCAATTTTCTAATCATGATTTTCCTCAAGCCTCATCCAACCAATAAATATGCTACAACTCATGGTTTAGTGAATCACTGCACATCTAGCCATTTCTCTTTTCAAAGAAATTATATGACCCTGTGTACTGTCTGAAGTCTTGGCCTCTGTGAAGATTTCCCCTAACCCATGACTTTCAGCATTGCTAGAAGGGTTTGTGACAGTGTACCTGTCCACTTCTGGGTGGTGCCTGTATAACATG